TGATTGGGTCTGATTGTAACTCATCCCCGGCAATCTATATCAATGGGTCACCCGGCATTATCGATAAATTTTACAGAACGAAAACGTCAAGTTACGACCACCCCGGAAAAAATGTATCAACTCAATAGATAGAATGGATTTATGGTATAGGGAGTTTGCTTGTGTATAAAATCTTACTGTAACCTCAAGCCTATATGTCAAGTAAGTACACGCATGTAGGGCAAAATGGGAGCTTCACTGCTTTTTTAAATCTGCAAACAAAACCACGGCACCCAATTTTTCCAGAGAAACATGTGCAGTACAGTCGTGCACCCAAGAACGATGTTTCCAAGGGGTTAGCCTGGGACGTCCTTATTTTTACTCATGGCTGCAGTCGTATAGCACGTTCTTAGACAAAAATCCGCACCGGAACATTGTGTGCTACAATCTGCCGTTCTCAAGTTTAGGCGTTGGCGTTCTTCAGCATGCGACTCTACAATGAAATTGTCCACATGGTCTACCATTCTGTAGATAGGCCGGCCAGAGACATGACGATGGCAATGTGAATCGCCACGACGACACTATTTAAAAGCTAGTAGTAAGTATATGTGAAGTACATTCACACAACATGCGCCAGTGAAGCGACATCCAGATGTGGTAAGACACCGTAAGAATATTAGCAAGGACTTACTACTTCCAGTTGGAGGGAAGAACACGCCTCGTCTTGTAGTAGCGAGCAAGGCGATGGATACGGCTCTCGATGAGAATGAGCCTGAACTTGGAATCCTTATCCTGAAACATGTAACCACACCAAATAGAATCGAAGCAGGATATTGTTCACCCTGGTACATTTACCAAAAGCCACATCATTGCTTTCCCAAGAGATGCATGGAGTGACCACACTGGTCACAACAAGACATCACCACATTGGATATTCAAATTACTTTGAAACAAAGTGAACTAAAGTGGAAATGTATTCAGTGTTCAGGCACTAGTTAACCCTTTACTGTCCGTACATACAAGCATTGATCCAATGGGATCGATGGGGTAGGCATTTTGAAATTATCATAACTTGCTCAAATCTAGGTCTTTTGGAGAGATCGAAATATGTAGGTCGAAGAGAAAAGTCTCAGCTGTCGCCTCGAACAATTCCCGAAGCGATACGAAGAGCGGTTGCTGAGTTATCGCACTCGTAATTCTGGTCCCGGGAAATGTGCGTTCAGAGCGCGACGCGTATGTCGACGGCTGGGATTTTCCCTGTTTACGTCACCTGTTGGCAAGGCTACACCGATTCAAATTCAAAAGTAGGTTCCCGGGAGTCTCTACGAAAATATTTGAGCTCGATACGAGCAACAGGGGTGACATGGTGGATTGAGATCGATCTCGAGCGTGAGCTCAGCGCTTTTGCGTGTTCCCTGGCTTGCAGCGCTGGACCAGTGCATCCTGTGGTGCCGAGTGTGGGCTCATTGCGTTCGTCTCGTCAAGACCTTTCCAGGATGCCCAAGATCGTGGAAATCGTCAAATTCAAACCAAAGTTACGCCTAATTTTAGTTTCAGATTTTGTGGTTGCGTGGGCTTGTATACATTTTAATCGGACAGTAAAGGGTTAACATCTGTTAATTTGGCAAAGACATATAACTTTAAATTCACAACCGCATCACGCAGTGAACCCAAGACTCCGCTAAGCCGTAAATACGGTAACGCTGAAAAGTAAAACACACCTTGCGTTGCTTCTCCATATGCTTGCGGACAGAGACAGCCTTCTTGATAAGGTGGTACAAGTCCTCTGGAATGGCAGGGGCCAAACCTAACACAAGGAAACAAAAATGAATACAAACACGGACAGCTTGCACAAGGAGAAGAAACTAGTCTCTGAGTAACAGCAAACAAGTTGAAGGAACAGAACTTTTCAGCTAGGTAATAAAACAGTGTTCAACTGTTCATACTTTGAAATAGATTTGCATCAGGCAGTCTATAATGTATCAAAGGTTTAAAAAAGCCGAATACAAAGAACATTACACACGAGTAAGAGAACAAAGAAAATATTTCTTTCTTTCAAGCCAGTAGTTGGCCAAGGATCCTAGGCTAGTGGTCTGGATTTTCATATTTGGAGGCCTCCATCACTTCCGGATTCTATTTAGTGAAGGAAGACGTAGAGCTCTAAACCGTTCACCTTTCAGAAATATAGGCACAGGAGCGTGTCACTTATCCAGCGGTTGCTGGCCCAAGTTTTCCATGCATACCCTACACTTCAGAAAGTGTGTTCATATTGATGGGCAAAGGTTAATAAACACGAGTGTCAGATGCGAAAAGAATGCAAACAAACTGTACATGTACATTTGTGACACGTGTATACTAGTCTTCCAGATGTGTCAACATATTGGCGATAATTTAGCTTCAGCCATTCAGAATATTCACTTGACCAACAGGGCCCGGTGCCGAGGGTGTCAGATAACTGACCGCTGATGAGACCATTACATATGCTTTGAATGGAATGCATGGACTCGAGTGACAGTTTGTATTGAGATTCGAAGACCAAATCTGTATCAAGTGGCAAGCCATGCAAACAGTGTTAGGTTTGGGTTGCAAACCGGCACTCGCGCTCCACTGCTTTGCCACTCCATACAAGCAAGAGTACATGAAAACCAGAGTGTGCAGCTCGGATGGGTGGCTGTCACGGCGGAATTCCGTGATTACATCATTTTAGTGATGTAGTGCGTACACGCAGGATTCAAGCAGGTCTCTTTCTGCACAACTGCAGCTCAGTTGTACGCACTACGCCATTTCCCGCCTCAGATCTGGGCCAAATATGATGTAATCACGGAATTTCGCCGTGACAGACACCCATAGCAGAGAAGGCCCCAAGCTGCACACTCTGGTTTTCATGTACTCTTGATACAAGGCACCTCAAATCGTGACATTATCACATTTACATAATACAGCGCTGACAATTGCTCAAGTCAAGTGCTATCATAGTAGTAGCCAATCCAGCATATATTACAGTTCAAGGGATCCAGGGCAATCACTACAAACAGCAACCACAATTCGTTCTGCGTCATACAATCGGGATGTTGCAGACACCTGCTGTGTCCAACCTATACCCTGAGTCATCATTGGAGGGCGATGATGAGGCTGTTGTTAGTAACCATCACTGTACCGCAGTATAGGGTGCCACCATTGCATAGTAATATTTATTGCCCATTTTTAAAATTCGAATTGCTAAAAATGGGTTTCAATATTGCTAATGTCAGCTGCTACTTCTGCCGAGATGTAACCGACCGTGACTAATATCTTTAAAGGAAGACAAACTAACTATTAAATTGAACATGTATGTAGGTAATTAATGAAAATGTAAAAAATATCAATTACATACCCTTAGCCTTCAGGATTCGGAGGATCTTGTTGCCAGTAACAAGTTTGACCTGGGCAATACCATTGCTATCACGCAGCATCACACCTACAAATGCAATAGGTACAGATTGCACAACAATGATCACGTCAATTAGGCATTCTGCTAAAGAGTTCTGCAAAATTGTGAATTGTGTTGAGTAAAATTATGCGTACAAAATCAAATTTCGACTTGTAGTAAATTGTTCTTACCGATTTGGGACGGAGTGCGCCCCTTCTTGGCGAGCTTGGCAATCATTTCCTTGACCTCGTCAGAGGACATCTTGACCCACTGCAGTTAACAGTAGGGTAAAATAGGTATTGTTTACCTTACAAGTCTTCCATACTTGCAGATTTTACTCAGCAGCTAAAAACTTACTGTTGGCACACTGCGCCTGTATGGCAGTGCCGAGGACGAAATGCCCTTTCTGCAAAGTACCACAATCGAGCACAAACAAGATTGTCGTCAGGCAGGGAAATACGACTGTGTAGAGAGGCTTCCAATGGCCTAAATCAGCTGGGAACATACCCGGGCGCGTGCATACGGACCATGATTGCGTCTTCTTGCCAGGCAATCGAAAGAGAGGCGATCGAGAAAGAAAGAACGAAAGCGCGCATGCGCCTTATTTCTCCATTGGAATATTTTTTGCCTACCTACCGGTACTGTACTTCGTCAGTTCGTGTTTCCCATTGCATGCATGCAGTGCACTCGTACACTCGTACTCGCGCCACTGCACGTGCACTCATGCTAGCACTGCACTGAAGTGGAGCAATGACGTCATCAAGATTGCTTTTGCAGAAGCGGATCGTCAGTTTTTCGAAAGATTTGAAATGAATGGCTAGGCTGCAGCGCTGATGATCGCGATGATCGATGGGCCATGTTCCGACATTTGCTGAACATGTCATGAATGCCAGAATGGTGTTCCCGTCATCGAAATAATTGCGACATAATAGTCTGGACGTTGCTATCACGAAGCTAGTATCAACCAGACTGCAGCAGTAGGAGGTCGTTGCATTGCTTACTTAACCCTTTGAGAGCCGACCCATACTTGAATGTGTAGAATTCTACACACTCGACTGTGAGACTTCAACTGGCCGTAACTCGGTCAAAACTAGGTCAAATTCAACGATCCAAATATCTACCTTGAAGAGAAAACTCTCAGCGTGCCGTAGAACCCATCCGCGACGCGCTGCGATCAACGGTTCTTGAGATAAATCGCTCGTAAGTTCAGCCGCGATCGCGGCACTTGAAAAGCGTGGGAGTGCAACTCGAAAGTTGAGAATTTTGAGACTTTTCCTCGCGCTGAGTTACTCAAATTTGCGTGGGTTTCACTGGTAGTATTTCCAAGGGTACACAGCGAAAAAATCGAAACTCTGCGATCAAGAAAAATGAAAATGCTGGAGCAGGACGAAAGTGCACGCATTTCAAGCAGTTTTCGCTAGTTCGCTGCTCTCCGGCGCTGGAGATATGGCGTCCTGGTCATCATGCGTGACCTCAGTCTCTTCCTCTCGCGGAGACCTTTCCAGGAAGCCCAAGATTGTGAAGATTGAGTGAGTAGAACTGAAGTTACTCCCCAAAGAACCTGAAAATATGCAGAATTTTGAAATTTTCAATCGGCTCTCAAAGGGTTAACTGCTTCTTTTTGAAGCGAGTAGTCTAGTAACCCGAACCAAAGTCGCAGCTAAAAATATCGAAGGCAAGAGTCTTGTTCCTTTCTTTCAAGTACTTTAGTAAAATTGCTTTTGTCAAACTAGATGTATTGCCAATGTAGATTAGAATTGCATCTACTCAATTGAGAATCGTGGTGATCTGTGGAGCAGTGATGGCTACGTCGAGTAAAGTGAAGGCCGAGGCAGCTTGTGTCACCACGACAGCAACGCAGTCTGCAAATTCTGAATCGGTGCGTATACATGTACATGTACATGTATTAACCATTTCTCAAAGGCTAAAAGTCTACAACTCAAGTCAGAACTGATGAGGATGGAAAGCAGACAATAGTGGTGTTCTGCTCTACGTTACGGGAACGCGACGCGGAGAATTCCGGGTACTCTCTTCGCTTTCCCGTAACATAAAGAAAACCTGTTCTGCTCGACATCCACGTAGAGGAATCACGTGGAATGTGTTTTTGGGAAATACTAGTGAACACTGGCTATTGTGATACCATTTCGTAGATAGGCGTTGCGTCCATGGCCGACCCATCGCCGTCAGCCTATATCCAAGTTGCACCCGGGCTATTCTGCCGTAAATAGTAAATACATGTGGTGATTATGGTATACTGTAAGACATGTATATATAACCAGGAAGTAAATCTAACGCTTTAACGGATGACATTTCTTCATTATAATAAGATCCGTTGAGGCCATACTGCTTCATTTTGTTGTGTGTGGATATGCCGGAATACTGCAAGGTCGTTAAACATATCTTCTCTTTAACTTATGGATTTTGGACAATCGTTAAATTTGCGACTCGTTATAATAACATGTCTTACAGTACCATGTGAAGAAAATCCCATGCATAGAGATCTAGTAGGGAACAACTCTTGGTGCAACTGAGCTAGCTGCTACTGGTATACACATTTTCAAGTTTGGATTACCTCAGCGTTAATAACTTGAGAAAGAAATCTGTGCAGTTTATTACATGATAGGAATTGACATAATAATAATAGTAATAATAATAATAGTAGAAAGGAAAAGGACATATGGAAACGAGTTAAGAGTAACTCTCCGCCACTGTAACTAGATACTATATACAGTCCATATGTCCTTTTCCTTTCTACTTTTATTATTGGCTCAATACCCGAGTTTCAAATAATAATAATAACTTTATTAGGATGACCCAAAGGCTGACCGCCTATCGTGGGGTATATGCCTGGGGCCATTTTGCTAGCCTCTCTTTGTTTTGTTATGTGTGTTTTTCATCAGCCTCAGCTAGTTTTAAAGTTGAAGAAGCCCAAGAAGCAAGGTGTTCAATGGGACCAGTCAGCTGTTGATAATGAGAACATGGGAAAGAAGAGTTCCAAGTGTGAGTTTTGTGTTGTGTTGAGATAGTGGTGCTGTTACATATACCTACCTACTGTGCATTGATTTGATGCTTAAAGGGGAAGTTAAGGCAAAAATTAAAATTTCACCAGTTGTAGTCTTCGGGGTGCTGAGTCGAATGGTCGTGGTCCGAGGAAGCCGAGACGCTCCCTTCATACTTGAATCCCAATCGAACTCGCGCACTTCCACCGAAACTGGGTGACTGCGCCCTACTACAGTCCATTTCAAAACTATAGACGCGTAGGGTTTTTGAAATATTTCAAATTTGGCTGGACCTTTTTGAGAATAGTTTTCGGAATATTGCTCAGGATCGCTCCACAATTACTCTCATATAGTTTCTAAACGATTGGATAACAGCCGCCCAATTTGGAAAAAATTATGCACAAAGTGATCACAGATTTTATGTGGTATAGATGCTGGCATAACGGTTTTTGCCTAGGTACGCGTCTATAGTTTTGAAATGGACTGTAGATGGGGATTTTATGCAAAATGTCACTAAAAGCGCCATTTCGTTCTTATAAAAGCATGGATGACCGCGATTGGCCCATATGTTATAGTCTTTTGGACGCTGAGTCGATTGGTTTTGGTCCAAAAAGGCTGCGATACAGCGTTCCTCCTTTATTCCCAATCGAACATGGTTGAACAAGCGGTCACGTGCTCCTGCGTACGCCAGTCACCTGGTCAGTGGTCACCGTGCCTGCAGGGTACAACTTACTAGCCTGTTTGACCTTTTTTGGGTGCAGTCCTGTCACTCGAGTTGAACTCGAGTTGAACCTTGGTGTGAAAGTTCTCGCCTGCTGGCGTGGTGACCAGGTGATTTGGGCACCCAGGAGCACGTGACCGCTTGTTCAACCATGTTCGATTGGGAATAAAGGAGGAACGCTGCATCGCAGCCTTTTCGGACCAAAACCAGTCGACTCAGCGTCCAAAAGACTACAACATATGGGCCAATCGCGGTCATCCGTGCTTTTATAAGAACGAAATGGCGCTTTTAGTGACATTTTGCATACACATCCCCATCTAGTAGGGCGCAGTCACCCAGTTTCGGTGGAAGTGCGCGAGTTCGATTGGGATTCAAGTAGGAAGGGAGTGTCTCATCTTCCTCGGACCAAGACCATTTGACTCAGCACCCCGACGACTACAACTGGTGAAATTTTAATTTTTGCCTTAACTTCCCCTTTAATAGTAGCGCCATTTGCTTTTGTGATCATACCGTATGTCAGCGCCTTTAAAGCCATGGCCTTATATTCGATACACCGCTGCTTTCCTAGATATTTTAGGTGCAAAATGACTCACCCACTACGCCATGCCATAAAAGTCAAAGTCCACACAGAAATTTCAATCTAAATCTACTTGTTCACCCTTCCTGCTGGGCTGTAAGTGTGCTAGCATACAGTCGTCCCTCTCTAATCCAGCACTTTATAAACTAGCACCCTCAAGAAACCAGCACGATTTCCAGTAGCCAAAATGTCCTCTCCATGCACATTTCAGCAGTAAATCCGATTTGTTACTCCAGCAGAAATTCCGTGGCACAAATGATGCCGGATTATAGAGGGACCACTGTAGTACTTATTCCTTCATTTATGCAAAACATACTTCAAATATCATTTCATTTATGAAGCCCATGGCTTTATAACTGAGACTGGCTTTATAATCGAATACACCGCCATGGCTTTAAAGATGCGGACATACGGTAATACTTTTGCGAATGATCAGTCAGCATATTTGTTATCTAACTTATCTTTCTCAATATGCGCGTCATATGGTCTGTGCACACAAAATATTGAACGGTAGAGGTTAATGGCCATGCATGCACTAACATGTTCATAACTAACCCAAATCTTGATAGACTTCCACAATCAAAGCACCTAAAAAGAAGTCGAAGAGCTCAGCTTTACATTGCAACAATTGAGTTTGGAGAATGCATCTATGCCACATACATGTACTGCACTCCTATCTGTGTGCATGATCCTTCATGTTCTCACTCATCATGCTTGCTTGGTCTTGTTTTAGGCTGCTGTATCTATACAAAGCCACGCGCATTTGATGAATCTAGCAGTGATGACAGCGGAGACGATGAGGATCAGAAGCACCGTAAAAAGTACCATCCAAGACAGGAGAAAGATGCATGCTGCGATGAATGCCATTGAGGCTGCTTATTCCGCATGCATGTGTTTGTTATAGGGGCTATCCAATATTTCACACATGTATTGGGTGTTGCCTTTCTTTTTGATATTGCAACAACTTGCTATTTGATGTGTCAGATCTTCTTTCTCTTTTGATATGTTCATCATGCTGCTGGCTCAGCATCAATTTTGCTTTATTCTTATATGCACTTGATGGTGTCTATGGACTAGACTTATCAAACAAACGTTGCTGTCCTTGTAAAACTTGACTACCACACTGCCGGGGGTGCCTTCATGTAATGTATTTGATGTGTTGCAAGTTGCAACCTCCACCCGGTCATTGGCCCACACAAACCGATTTCATCTGAACTTTCACCAGGGGGGCCGGGGACCATTTGAATGGTGCTTTGGGTGGGGAAATTATGAAAAATTCATCCCTTCAATTATTATTATTATTAATATGACGGATAACCCAAAAGCAATTCAATGCAAATAGAATTTCCGGATAATTGATCGTTCTGATACAGTACTGTCGGTCGCCGAAGAACGAACAGGTAGTAGTATGCACTGGTAGTCAGGTACTCTATATACAGAAGCCTTGCTTGGTAGTTTAACATGTTTTTCGATTTTGACAGCATGTTACAAGACGCGTCCTCGCCTTGTAACATGCACCCGAAGTCGCAGATGACCTGTACATGTACTCGTACAGTGCAATCGTACAAATTCATGTAATATTCCATGAATTAATATTATTTGGGTAGCCAGCGTGTAAGGGATCGGGAAGGGGTGCATGTGGTGTTACCATGGAAACATTACTGCTACCTAGGTACCTGTGGAAAACTATACCCGACTCGGCCCTAAATTTCACCAAACACGGCATAATGATATACAGGTACGTGCGGTGACTTCACTCTAGTGGTATGGCAGTTGAATGACGTCCGGATAATCAGCATTCTACTTTTGGTAACAGAGGAGATGCATTGCAGGAACTTTGGTGAAGTGCCAACTGGCCGCCACCAACCAAACAGTCAATACTTACATGCACATTGACGCGCGGGCGCGGGCGCGCGAGAGAGAGAGGGGATGGCCAGTCCAAAAATAACCTCAGCACAGTAAACCGTAGCAAGAAAATTGGTACCAAGGAAGTTCAATGGAGGGTCATTCTTGTGTAGTAGCATGAAAAATCACAATAGCAAAACAGCAGGGTTCTAGCCAAAGGGGGGCGCAGCGCCCCCCTGTGAAAAAGTGCCGCCCCCTACTCATTTTCCGATTTTTGTGTTTTTCACGCCATTCAACGAAAATACAGTCGATAGTCACTACTAGCGGGTGTATAAAGGCACATTTGTGAGGGGTAAAGTCGGGGTTCACCCCGTATGTTACATTTTGCATGGCAAGACAATTTTGGACAATGGAAAAAATGGGTCATGGGGTAACTTTTTTCCATGCCCGCCCCCTTACTATATTGACCTGGCTAAAACCCTGAACAGGATTGTGATAACTGCACAGTTTGCAAGAGCAGGCTGACCAACATGACAATGTGATTAAAAAAACACTCCACAAAGCTCCTGATGGAAACAATACTCGTGGAAATCAAACCACTTATATGCATAACAAGAAGTCCAATGATGAAAAGCAGAAAGACGAATAACAAGTGTAACAGTCACATTGATGTCAATGATGATAGTTCAGCTCAAAATCAAAAAGACCAACATAACATCAATGAAAAGATGGGGCTAAAGAATGACAGGAAGATAAGAAAGACTAAAGTCAAACACAAAGACCAACAAAAAGGGACAATAGAAGTAGCGTGATTACTCTCAATCAGCAGGATCGAAGACAGATGGATTGCAGTTTGTGCAAATCCCCTAAGACAAAAAATGAGAATGCATTTTAAAACACATAGCTCAAAACCAAAGAATGCGAGGGTAAAATCCTACCGACTGGTATGTGGCAACTACGACTAGTGTTCATATAAAATGTTGTTTCATGAAGTCAATGCGGTTAGTATTCAAGCTAAAAACAAAAATAAAATTGGCCGTTACACCCACTGTTGTAATGTTATGGGCCAACTGTGCCGTGACTGTCTACAGTGATGATTTCTACTGCTTCTGATGCAACAGGTACACCGACATCGTCATTCATTACTGATGCAACAGTCTCTGCTGAGACACCATCACCCATAGACGAAGCTGTCGTGAGAACATCACTTGTAGCACCAACAACAGAAAAGGCTTCGCTCTGTGCCATCAGATGACCCGTGGCGACAAGAGCATCACGCTCTGTGAGTGCAGTCAGAGACGTGGAATGATCGCTAGTCATGACAGAATGGGGGTTGGCAGAAACAAACATGCCAGATGACATACTGGCCATACTTGCCATACTTGCGGTGGAGACATCCACCACACTGGAATTGGCTTCAGTCAACTCCACAACAATGCGGCTGTCCAAATACTGAGGAAGCAACATTGTCGTACCATCAGCAGCCTGAATATGCTGGATGATGTGAGGATTGTGCGTCAAATCCATAATCACTTGGGCCTGTTGTTCAGCAGAAACTTGCTGCTGATTGTCAAGCTCCGTGGACAATAGAGATGACGATGGAGTTCCAACACCAACGACCTGTGGAATGCTCAGATTCTTGGGAACACCGATACCACCACCGTCCTGCTGATCGTTAGCCTCAACGAGTAGGTCTAGGCGGTTGTGGTGAGTGTAGCAGTTCCGTACAATTTGTCGCAATGCTTCCGTCCACTGCGTCTGTTGCTTCTCAATATCTGTGCGCATATCTGCACGGACGTTTTGCCAAGGCACACCATCCGGCCACCACACTGGTTTTAGATGGTCTTTTCCCCAGCCAGGCTTCGGTCGGCCAGTTGAGCAGCGTAGCATGGGTGGAATGAATGCACGCAGTTGCGCTTGTGTCATCTTCTCAACAGACACAGTCACACCGTCCACAACAAGTGGTGGGAGATCGTACTTCTGGCTGCAACCATTCATGCCACCCTGATGCTGCATCATCTGCATGTCTAACGCCTGTGTAATACTATGCCGCTGGCGTTTGATAACATTCTCCAGTGGAGCGGCACCGAACACTTTGAATTCGGTGTTGGTTTGACTTGCGGTTGGCGGATGACCGCGTGCTGGTGAACATGATATTACTACAGCTTGTAAACCAACACGAGCTGCAAGCTCATCAATAGTTGATTTAATTTTTCGCATAAGTCGTGTTGACTGACGTTTCCTAGTGGCTGGATTTGATTCGTAGCTCCAGGGCCTCTTACGTTTCTTTGCAAGACCATGTAGACTCATTAAAGATTTATCTCCATTGTCATCCAATCCTCCATCAGATAATTCAGATTCTCCAACAACGGAATCATCCAAGCACATCATGTTAATGGCAGGGTTCGCAGCAGCAGTGAGCGATCCAGATATGTGTGATATGGTAGAGATTCCATCCACAGTTGTTGCAACAGCAGCAGCAACATCTTCATCGTGTGTTGATGAAGGAACAAAACTTGCAGCCGACACAGCACTTTGAAAATCTGCCGTGGACAATGAGACAGTAATTGTTTGATCCGCAGAAGGGAGAACTGTCAAGCCACCACTACAAGCCTCTTGGCATGCTTGGACAATATTGTCCAGTTCGCTCATGCTCATTGAGGATCGCTTCTCGAGCTTGCGCAGAACGATCCTCCAACAAGAACAGTAGATGCGCAAAGATGAGCAAAATGGCGCACTTCTCCTTCATATTACGCGCATGCGCACAACTTTCTCCTTGGATGTGGATGTTTACACTGCTGCACTGGTTCGATCGAATGCATGTTTTTTTGCGTGTCGCCTGGAGCTCGTTCTCTGGTTCTGGCTAGCTTGTACTTGTAGGCCTGTGCTCGTACTTGTGCAGGTTTAGTTTCTTGTCCTTTTTAGGTTGTAGTTGTAACTTGTACTTTGCGTGGACGTATTATCTGTACAAGTACTTCAAGTAGTCTCTGCGGAGGGCTTTCTTTCCTCCCCCGGCCCGACAACGAGGAGTGCTTAGCATGCAATGATTCTTGAATTCTGAAACGTCATAACAGTGTCGTCCCACAATAATGATGATCGTAAGAAGTCTTGGTGTGCAGTCACTGCTGGTACTGATATTTATACAATGGGACAGAACACGTATGTACTCGTACGCTACTCGTCCCTGCTCTTCCCATGCCAAGAGTACTCCATCTACTAGCTACTGCCAAGATCAAAGCGCTCGAGCATGTCTGACTCATGACACATGATGTAGGTCACATGCACAGTGACAGCCCTGAGCCTACTCAATCGTGCATGCATAATAATTACTTCAAACGACCCACGTGCCCTTTGCTAGGTTAGGGCCGGGTTCCACTGCGGCTCCGCTGCTCCGCTGCTCGTCTTTCGCGGCTTGAAACGTCATCATTACCATAGTGACCGCGGCTCGAGCTGGAGCAGCGAGTCCGCGGCTCACCGCGAGCTTTTGCTACGATTCTTGACCAAAAACTGCGAGCCGCGGTCGCGGCTCGACCTGTTTCCCGTACTTTGCATTGTTTTGTACGCCAGAATTTTAAAATTCAAATTTTAATTCGTTGCGCAGGCCAGAACACGAGGATTTGTTTGATTTCGCGCGCGCAGGCAGGTGAAACGTCATCAAAAAGTGTGGACCACGACCGCGGTACTGCGAATGGCGAGTGACAGTGGAACCGCGCTGCTCCGCTGCATGCAGCCAAGTGCCGCGGAGCAGCGGAGCCGCGGAGCCGCAGTGGAACCCGGCCCTTAGGGCCGGGTTCCACTGCGGCTCCGCTGCTCCGCTGCTCGTCTTTCGCGGCTTGAAACGTCATCATTACCATAGTGACCGCGGCTCGAGCTGGAGCAGCGAGTCCGCGGCTCACCGCGAGCTTTTGCTACGATTCTTGACCAAAAACTGCGAGCCGCGGTCGCGGCTCGACCTGTTTCCCGTACTTTGCATTGTTTTGTACGCCAGAATTTTAAAATTCAAATTTTAATTCGTTGCGCAGGCCAGAACACGAGGATTTGTTTGATTTCGCGCGCGCAGGCAGGTGAAACGTCATCAAAAAGTGTGGACCACGACCGCGGTACTGCGAATGGCGAGTGACAGTGGAACCGCGCTGCTCCGCGAGGTATATTATGGCACCGCAGGCCGCGCACCTGAGGGCCTTTCTGGAAGCCTTACTCGATCGGATAGAGCGAAACTGAGCACCCTGGGATGCGAGCAGTTTTTAGTACTCCCGGGTCCGAAATCTCGCCACCAGGCCGGGCTGATCAAAACGTCTGCCGGGTCTGCAGCCTACAAACGTGGATCTGCCGACACTGTGCTGTCGACGACATGTCCCGCAAGGCACCTTGCGTGAAAGCAAGGAACGCTTTTTTTTAGAAAGGAAGCTTCTTCCCCAAAATTTAAAAAAAATTTAAAATTATTCCTTCTGAAAATATCATCGCGCTCTTGACCTCGAAGCTGACTGCTGAATGCGATTAGGAAAGAAGATTCCTGAAGATGCACCAGACTGATTCTGGCAAGCCGTCTGTCGTCTGGATATGCACTGTTGTTCGTCATGGTCAGCAATCTTCTTCGTTCGTCCTTTCGTTTTCCTGACCACGATGATGACAAGCAGCTCTCATGCTCAGGTTAGTGCTACTTGTATGTCTGGGCACACAACACATCTGAGATGCACCCACTGACGTTATCGAACTGAAGAATGCAGCAAGGGTTCCTCGGATTCTCTTGATTTCGGAACAAATTTCCTTCACTTTCACCCTCTCAGTCTCTTCCCCATGCCCTCCATGCATGCACAATGGAGGTTGCATTTCAAATGTTGTTTTTATACTTTGGCAGTGCCTCTGCTACCCTTTCATATAGAATGAGGTCCTGTAAATAGGATCTAACATTGTTGGTGGTGGTGTGTGTGGGGGGGGGGGGGGGGGATTGAAGGTACGTTTGCAGCCAGGATGTAGGAATGACACTTCTGCGCAGCAGGTGGCAATAGTCAGAACTGGTCACTCTACAAATCCCATGCCTGCCAACCTTTGCAAACCTGAGATCGAATGACATACCTAGGCATGAAAATGTGTACAAATATAGCTCGCGGTGAGGCATGGAACTAATGCACTTTTGGGTGCCTATTACCGCCCTCGATGTCGGGATGGTCGCGGCTAAATCGGGATGGTTGTCAGGTATGAAATCCCAACCGAGAAAACCATTTAATCAAAAGATAAACTCGGCTGGAACGCCGCTTTTCTGGGAATAGAAAATTTGTTGTGCCACTTTCGGCTAGTCCTTTTTGCAGAAGTGCCTCCGCAATGCTGTATGAGGGCCAGGACATAGCAACTTTCTGTATGCCGGGGGGGGGGGGGGGTCATCGTCCGCAACATTGGTAGAGTAATGGTTACATTGTATATGTAGATACATGTGCATCAGGGATTCATAGCACCTGGGGAGACGACATGAGACCAAAGTACCCAAAACGTTGTGAGTTTTGATCCCATATTGGGTAGTTCTACGTGATCTGTGTTCTGTGCAACTCTTAATCACAGGCTTGCTCTGTTAAACCCAAACGTCTAGATTAGCAATTCTATAGACCTTATTCGATAATGTGATTTTTGGACTCGCCTCCAGGGATTTGTCGTAAGCTGGGGCACGCGTACGTGAAACAAGTGGCAAGAAAGGCCCAGTTCGTACAAGGCAGTAGTAAAATACCGGTATTTTTCTGTTCCTATGTTCCCTGGACGAGCCTCTGTGCACTGAGTGCAGGTCTCTTGCCGCTCCCTGGTCCCCGGTTCACGTGATCGTGATGTTTATCGAATAAGGTCTATATGCGGGCATGCATAAATCAACCCTTCCACAAGGACGGATCAAACAGGCAGCCAAGTAGTGAAAATTTCGCTCCTGGGGCTAGGGGTGAAACGAAGGCCTCAATTTGCCAAATGAACCTTCTCCATCGAAACGAACGAAGGTGTCGAATAATTCTTTTACCAGTTCATAGTTCCTGTTCACATGCACTCCCGGGGGGGGGGGGGGGGGGGGGGGCTACTATGCACTTGTAGTGACACTTACCGTAAGCCAAGTTGCACCTATGGAAGCCAAGTGGACCACGACTAGTTGACTGTACAGACTACAGTGCAGTATACATGCACATGTATACAGTGAAGATCAGTGCATGGATGCCTGCCGTAATTGTATGTTGACCTTCGTTCGAATTGAAAAGAGAGGGTCGTTTCGAAAAAGAAAAAAAGCTCAATGGAAGTATGATGCTGCTGACAATTCAAGACTCACTGAAGTCGCCTTTCAAGTTTCTGGAATGGATCATGCGCTCTAGGTTCATCCAATTGGATATGGACTCAATCATTGTTACACCATTCTTGTTTGGTTAGTTATTCTACATCCCATAGCATGTACAATCCAACTTGTGAATAATGTACCTCGGGTTTACAAAACAACTCGCAAATAACAATCTTCAGATCTAGTGACCATTTGATTACATACTTCCAACCTCACGAGTAACAACAATACACCAATAGCGACACTTTTTCATTCACAATCGAGGGTCAGTATTCCCCAGGTTGACTGCAATTGCCAATCAAACAGGAGGGGCGAAAGTCGACCATGGCTGAAAAGGCGTAAAGAAAATGTATGTCATGAGCTAGATGGCAGAAGGAGGAAGTAGGTTTTCTGAGAAAGCAAGAAACAGAGGTGAATGAAGCACCAGGTCTGTCCATGCAGTGGATAGAATTATTGTATTGAAAGACAGGCTCTTTACGTCAGCTTGCTACTATTATACCTACATTTATTATTATTATTATTATTATGACAGATAACCCAAAGGCAATGGTTTGCTTTCTGCCTTTTTCATGCAGGATTCTGAAAGCTGGAGCAGCTCTGCTTACCTCGACCACTGAACTTACAACTAACTTCCAACCAAGTTCAAGGCAGTATTATGATGAATCAAGCACGCTTGCCATCATTTCATCATTGCAAAGTACATCGACAATACAGATTTGGTGCTGACTATGTATGATGCAAAGTGTGCTCTATGTATCTATACTACTGATTGGCCTACATTGTACTTATGTGGGCTGAGAGTAATCGATTGTGCTGTATGGCAGTTTACTTGCATATCATAGATGTTCACATTGCACACAGCTACTGAATTGCTTTCTGTTGCACTGGCCTACTGCGGCCCACTGCAAATAGATTGTAGTGGCATGGGCCATGCCATCATTATAGTGGTATACCGGGACTACACGAACAGTTTCACTGGTGCACTGTACTTACTGGTAGATCTACATCATGCACAGCCTTGTCACTGCTTTTCTCACTTTTTATTAATTTACTGTACTGTACACATTTTGGCACAGCTCTTCCACAAGGAGTTACTAGTATTTTCTTCTGCATACCTACTGTATACAGTTACCTGACTGGTAACATCTATGGCTGTGAAATCACAAATTTCTGGGTTGACAGCCTCAAACCTAACTTTATACGATTTGTTTCTAAGAACGTGCTATAAGAAGTATTCTACTGTAGCTCGCAGGACATGGAGTGAGTTTGGAACACCACTCACTCTTCTGTGATTTGGATGTCAAATTATGAAATTCAGTTTGTGAGGTAAACCCATGCATGGCACTCACTC